AAATCAAAAACTAGGTAAAGCCTGGAAGTGTAAGAAATGCAATCTGACAGCAATATGTTGGGAACGTGGCTGCATGTACTGAGGAATGTTTCTCCGGCTATCTGTGGGCCTAAATCACCTTCGTTTTACTTCATTTCTGAGCGAGCGTAACTCGGTGGAAAAATGACAGTATAATAATTGCAAAGAAATGAATCGCCTTTAACTGGCCATCCTGTAGCGAAGCCTATATTTACAGCCATCTTCTGGAATGGATAACGTCTTTGTCTTTAATGGCTGTTCGAAAGACCAACAAAATCCAGCGATTATGACAATCTCCATGTCTGATTTTGACAAGTGGACTCGCATAGGTTGTCAGATGTTAGTGTCTCAGCGAGTTCATTTACAGCATTTCTCGGCTGACTTGCCTTTAGCTGAGACACTAAAAACATTTTGTCAAATACCCGTCTTCTCTCATTTACTTCATTTCGGTTGTATTCTTGGTGAGTTGGTTAACAGTGTGATAAACTGTTGTAGTTGGATCATCGACACCAAATGTTCTCATTATCCTCTGACATTCTCGAAAGTATATCGTTTTATACAACTGTGACTTGCCTACTTGAGGTGCATCACAAAAAAGAGGCAATCTAAATCAGAACAACAACTTGACAGTATAAAATACGAAGTACATTTCAGGATCAAAGATTTTTAGATGGGAAGCTGACTAGAGGCAGTGTAGTTATGATCGAGTGCAAAAAAAGTATGGCAGATCGCGCTGTAATTTGATAGTCAGCCCATAGGCAAACCAACCAACTTAAATAGCGAAAGTCAGCATGCAGTTTCGGGTGCCAAGGAAGCTTTGGACTTTTGAGTTTTTAGGGTTGTATTGTGGTGTATTTAAAGGAAGAACAATAATGCGTAAGACAACTAAGGGCCAAGTAAGCCAAAATTTTTTATTGAAAAATGTAGAGAGGAGAAAATGCTGTTAAATTTTGAATGTATGCATGTAGTAATTACTTGTAATCGTAGTATTAGTATTTCGAGATGACCGAATTACAAAAATCCAAACAAAACAGAGAGGGCGGAATTCAGGAATTTGTATTTAGCGGAATTATAATGCAATTCATATAAGAAATATTAACAATCAACAGTAAGTATTTAAACAATACAGAGATAGAAATTGTCAATCACCACATCCGCCACACGTCGAATGTCTCCTTGCGTATTTATAATGATATCGCGGTTTGCTTGCCAGTCTCTGCGATCTTCTAACTGATTCTGTGATATTATTTCCATCAGTATCATCTAGACTTATTTCTGAATTATCTACAAAGTCAGGATTAGTAGCGGAGTCATTATAATCATAATCGGAACGACCTACCTCATTTATTCTCACTTGATCCAAGTGTCTGTTATGAACTGAATTATCTTCGATGTCTAATATCTTCACCATTCGATTTCCCATTCTTTGTAGTATGATACCAATAGAAGGTCTATAATCATTCCCTCTGTAATAATGTACATCAGAAGTCGTGGACATCAGATGCTTTCTGAGAATTCGAGATTTGAATAGTTTTGCAGGACTTTCATGAGTACTTGTATGCTCCGCATTGCGATATTGAAGTAAGAAGTTATCCACACATCTCTCTAGCTCATCAAATTTTGAGGACTCATTGATGCTATAGCACTCTTTAATGTTCGTACAAAATTTTCTGCCAACCCGTTTGACTGAGGATGACGTGGTGCTGTGTACAAATGACGACAACCTATATGTTTGAGCCAATCATTGAAGTTCTTCTCCGTAAAATGAGTACCATTGTCAGTAACTAAGACATCTGGAATTCCTTCTCGACTAAAAATCTTTCTCAACGCTCTGTGAGTGAATTTGGCATTAGGACTATCTGTAATGATGACTTCTGGCCATCTAGAATAAGAATCCACAATAACTAAAGCATAATATGAATTTAAGAATGGACCACAGTAATCTGCATGAATACGCTGCCAAACCTCACAAGATGCAGGCCACGGTGTCCACGATGACTTCCCATAGGACATTTTATGTAAACAGCTAGAACAGCTCTTTGATCTTTTGTTAATGTCAGCATCAATTTCCGGCCACCAGCATGTTAGGCGTGCTAATGATTTCATCTTATCAGCTCCTAGATGAGCAGAATGTAGATCATCCAAAATCGCAGATCTTAATGTTGGAGGAATAATAATTCTGTCATTCAGACATAGAAATCCTTCAGGATGGACTGAAATCTCATCTCTTCGCTTATAAAAGTCTGGAAAAACATTCCAACCTCTTTTTGTTGCATTTATAACGCATCCGTAATATTTCCGAGTATCATTTATAAGTCGAACTCGATCCACCGGTAACGGCTGGACTAATAAGCAATCAGTATCATTAGCAGCATTTTCAAATAATGAATAACGAGATAAGAAGTCTGCATGAGGTATATCCTTTGCCGATCTATGTTCAATAGTGTAATCATATGCACTTAGTTCTAAACTCCATCTTTGAACCATAGCAGCAGATGATTTATTCAAAGATTTTTCTGGATTGTAAATGAATTTCAAAGCTTGATGATCAGTAACTATGTGAAACTTAGTACCAAAGAGATACTTGTGCAAGCGTCTTATTGCCCATACAACTGCTAGAGCTTCTTTCTGGGTTTGTGAGTACCCTTGTTCACTCTTACTTAGACGTCTTGAAATACAAATAACAGGTTGTCCATTTTGCTCAAGTACTGCAGCTATACCCATAGGAGAAGCATCTGTAGTGAGAACAGACTTATCTTTCGATGAAAAAGGTCTTAAGAAAGCTTGTTTATTAAGAAACTCCAAAGTTTTTCGCAAGATATTCTCATGTTGTTGTTCCCACTTAAACTGTTTACTGGAGACAATCTCAAAAAGTGGAGATAACCGTTGAGTGAAGTTGGGAATGAATCTGGAGTAAAACTGAAGAGTACCTATCCATGATCTCAACGATGACATATTATTAGGTGACGGTGCTTGAATTAGAGGTGCCAAACGACTAGCATCAGGTCTGAAACCTTCGGAGTCTACTGTGTATCCCAAGCATGATACAGACGACAAAGTGAAATGACATTTAGATGGATTAACAAGAACATTATTCTCACATAAACGCCTGAACAGTTTTAAAAGACGTTCATTATGCAATTCGATATTAGGACCATGAACTATAATGTCGTCTTGGTATGACTCAACACCATCTAATCCATCTATCATCTGATTTATTACATTTTGAAATATTGCAGGTGAAACCTTTAAACCAAAAGGCAAGAACTTATACTTGAACAATCCAAATGGAGTATTAATGGTTGTTAATGCACTAGACGCCTCATCAAGAGGAATTTGCAAATAGGCATCTTTTAGATCTATTTTGGAAAAGTATCTTGAGCCATGTAGCTTGTAGAGAATGTCTTCAGTTTCTAGAGTAGTGCAACTTTGCTGTAGTAGACGACTATTGAGTGTAAGGCGGTAGTCACCACAAATTCTAGGTGTTTTTCCATCAGCCTTTAGTGGCGTAACAATAGGAGTAGCCCAATTTGAAGACTCAACTGGCATAAGTATGCCTTGCTCAACCAACTTGTCTAACTCTTTCTTAACTGCATCTCGCAATCCATATGGAATTAATCGGCGTTTCAGGAAGATAGGATCACCCTCTATTTCAAGATGGATGGGCTGAATCTTCATACCACCTACACTCTTTGAACATTGGAGAAGTAATTCTCTGAACAAAGATTCATCAAACAACTCAGTACAAAGTGAGATTTCGACATTTAACAATCTAAGGGCTTTTAATCCCAATAAAGATGGACCATATTCACTAACAAGAAAGGGAATATTTACAAAATTACCACTGTCTGATTTCAAAGAAATGTTAGTAGCACCGATAAGAGGTAATTTATGACCAGTTATGCCTGTAATTGAACTAGTAGTAGGGTCTATCTGGACATTCTTACAAATCGATTGTAAATCTTTCTTAGAAATTATAGATTCAGTACTCCCAGTATCAATTATAAAACAATGGGACTTGCCTGAACTTGTAGTGAAGGTTCTCATTAGATGAGATTGAGTATTGGGAAAAGTTGAAAGAGACATCGACTGCATTTTACCAGATAAATTGGAAGAATTATCAGGATTCTGAGTAACATAAGTATTCGAACTTCTGCAAACAGTCTTGATGTGTCCAACTTTACCACATTTGTGACACTTAGCACCCCGAAAACGGCAAGTGCTTCGTAGATGTAACTTTCCACAGGATAAACACGGTTTAATGTTTTTGATCTCTGGCTGCATTCTATTACCTGTGGACGACAGTTTGGATTGCTTTCCATGACACTTGTATTTTCGACTTTGGACAATATGACATCAGATACTGACGTAAAGGGAGCAGAGTATTCACTGTTGACATCTTCATATGTAATACATAAATCTTTAGCAGTTTGAAAGGTACAAGAAGGAATCTGAATTAACTCTTTCTCTAACTTAGGAATATTGATTCCAGCAATTAGACGATCACGTAGTTGAGTATGCAGCTGATCTCCAAAGTTACACTTTGAAGCTTGAATTTGAAGAATGAAGTCTCTTATTTTCTGATTGGGAGCACGAACCAGTTTGTTGAATTGAGCCCTCTCTCTGGTCTCAAATGTAGTTATATGGAAGTGATTTATCAGAAGTTCACGAATCTTGACATATGACAGAGAAATAGGTTTATCTGGAAACGCCAGATTCCTAACTAGGCTATATGCATCTAACCCAATAGCAGTGATGAAATGTGCTGGTATTTTGTCATCCCGAACATTCTTTGAAATGCACCACGCATCGAAGCATTCAAGATAGTCAGCAATCTCCCGCAGAGAACCATTTATAGGAAAATTTCCCAGGTTATTTAGTTCCATCGCGACGCCAATTTGTAGTAATTACTTGTAATCGTAGTATTAGTATTTCGAGATGACCGAATTACAAAAATCCAAACAAAACAGAGAGGGCGGAATTCAGGAATTTGTATTTAGCAGAATTATAATGCGATTCATATAAGAAATACTAACAATCAACAGTAAGTATTTAATCAATACAGAGATAGAAATAGTCAATCACCACAATGCATCTTTGTTTATCTGGATTGTAGCGCAACCCAAGCGGCACATTTCGTGGGTCCTCGTGATGAAGGTGGGTTGGTGTATTACTGGGTTTGCTTCCGTTATTTTGGCTGGAGATTTAAGCAGACATACATCATATTTTGTACCTGGTAGTGCTTGGCATCGATAAAGAGAAGTCGATAATTTGAGGTAGGAGTTGAATGTATCACATGGGTTCTCCCTACCTAATATGCACACGTTTACGTGTGTGAAAAATGAGTTCTCAAGGGTATCTTAGGCGAGTTTCTACTATGCAAGTGATTGTACATGATTGCTTAGGATTGGATGCGACTAAATGACAAGTTTGGTTCTGTGTAGCGGGAGATGGTGTGGTTTAAGTGAATTCTGGAAAATGGGATCCAAATTTAAATGTCTCCATTCTCCCACAGTTCTTAATAAAAAATGACAAATTGGGAGTATTTGTTTGATGTTACGGTTACGACAATTCCAAAAGACTTGAGAATTACCAAACAATTCTTATCATTGCGCCACGAATAGTAGTTTGAGCAGTCATAATTTTGACTGTTCCACCGGCAACCGATTTCGGGCATGCATCTTGCTTCTCAGACGTCTAAAAGACAGTCATGGACGTTTGTTTCCCCAGTTTGCCTTATTAACGTCTCTTGTCTGTTATGTTTGACCCTTCCACTGTTACTACTGTTCCGAAGAAATGTAGAGGTGACAGCAAGTGTACCTGAACCGTGATTTGTTGAAGCAGATTTCTGGAGAATCAGCCATTGTTCACTTGTTAACAGTATGCTGATAGTAAATATCGAAGTAAACAACTACATTTCTTTTAGTAAGACTGGAAAAAAAATTTTAAGCTTGGGGGTTTGATATTTTAAAGCCTGCGTGATGCATGTATAATCCCAGTTGAGCTTAAGCACTATAATCGAAAGTGACCCCACGCTTGCTGCACAGTTGCATTAGCTGTACGATTGTCCCAGTCTGCTCAACCTGACGTTGCACTTTGGACAAAAGCTTATATGTTTACCTCGTCATGTCATACGAGCACATTACCAAGTTAGTAATACAAATTACAATCGGCAACGATATACATGCCAGAGAATAATAAAGTAAAAATACGTTTTTATCTCGGTGACCCTAGCTAGGTTGTCTAATTTCCTGAGCCAAACGAACTATTGTGGGCTCAATCGGTTAGTTTTTTATGGTCAGACCACTTAAATTCGTAGCGTAATAGTGGCTTATTCCTCATGTCTACACTGTCACCGAGTCACTTGAATCGATAGGGATACTCACAGAAAATCCATTTTGTTAGGAGCGTGTCATCCTATTGTTATCCTTCGTATCGTCTGGATGTCTAATCTCTATATAGACAGGATATGTTAGACTTGGTGGGATACTTCAGTTGGAAGATGTGATGTGTGAATTTCTTTTTTTAAACATATATGGTCTTGAATATTTATATTCACGGGCATTTGGCGTTAATTTTTTAACCAGCTTTTAAATCTTTCAAGGTAATAAGTAGTAATTAGAGAAGCGAGTCAAAAATTTTGGACACAGTCTTCTCTAAATTAGTGAAATCGTTGCGTATTTAATAGCCAAGAACATCTACCGGGCCAGTTGGTGATGTGTAACAGAGGGACCCGAATTGTAAGGCAATTTTTCATGCCGATCCCAGGATTTTTCATCTTTGTCATAAAATCGGTTACCATATTGTAAATATCTTCGATTCTCTGAATATGTCCTGCATTTCTGAGATAGATCGAGAGAACTTATTCTCAGCATTTACGAAAACTGCATCGAAAGCTTTCGTTATCCACAAAATTTCTTTGTTTGTCGGTCGTATTTTGATCACATGGCATCTGTATTGTAAATATGTTCATTTTAAAATATTGTTTTATAGTACTAATTCCTGGTCTTTGCTGTTTCTTTCAGCTCAACATCGCTTTCCCAACTAATGGGACACAAAAATGTATTGACATCGATGAAGAGCTCAGGCTCCGCCCATTTTATGATAAGCGCATGTCTCATGAGCTGCCAGTCGATTTTCTAGGAGATGAATGGAAGGGATATGTGGTGCGCATAACAGGTGGAAATGATAAACAAGGTTTCCCGATGAAGCAGGGTGTTCTGACAAACGGTCGTGTCAAGTTACTTCTGAGTAAAGGAAGTTCATGCTATCGTCCTAGACGCAAAGGTGAACGTAAACGAAAGAGCGTTCGTGGTTGTATAGTTGATAGTAATTTGAGCGTACTTAATCTGGTTATTGTGCGCAAGGGCGAAAATGATATTCCTGGTCTGACAGACGTCAGTATTCCTCGACGTTTGGGTCCCAAAAGAGCTTCAAAAATACGAAAATTGTTCAACTTGTCGAAGAAGGATAACGTTTGTCAGTTTGTGGTACGCAAACCTGTCCCAGCTAAGGAAGGAAAGAAGGAACGTTCTAAGGCACCAAAGATTCAGCGCTTGACAACTCCATTGAGGCTGCAACGTAAACGTCGCCAACGTGCAGTTAAGCGTCAACGTGCCGAATACCGCAGAAAGGTTCAAGAGGAGTACGCGAAGTTGCTTGCTCAACGTCGAAAGCAGGCACGGGATGAACGTGCAGAACGCAAACGTTCGAGAAGTCACTCTTTGCGTGAATCTAAAGGACCAGTTAGCAAAAAAGAATAACTTTTTTGATTAATAAATATTTCGGATGAAAACATTGTTTTTGATGTTTTGTTGAATGCATTGTTGTCTTTAGATACAAAGCTTATAGATGCTTAGAAATAGGCCGTGCCTTGGTTTTCGATAAATAGTACTACACGACCAATTGCAGTTGTCATTGCGTTGTGGGTAAACAAACTTCCATAACTCCTACAGGATTGGATGCCTTCATGTCATTATTATTACGGATAGCTGTTAGTGTTCACTGCATATCAAACAACGAAGAATAAGAAGGGATGCCCCGCTGGTTTTCGATATCTGAAGCGATTTATAGACCTCTTTAGCAATTAGATGTGTTGTGGTTTTTGTGGCTATTTCATGGTGCTATATAAGAAATGTTATGAAAAGAATATTGTCATTTCTGTTTAATTACTGTTGAAAGTTACCTGTTTATCATCTGAATCACTTTATAGACAACTTACGGCCCATCTAAAATAGGACTTCCAACCTCGTGTTTCAGCCTGCTAATTTCTTGTATCTCAGAGGACCTAATCGGAACTCTAGTATCTCCTTCAAATGTTTGAAGTAATTTCGTATCTTCACTTACTAGCAGTTCGGCTTTGTTGGTTTTTGTCTTATGTCTTTGAAAAATCCGAACTGATAGCTGAGTATTCATTAGTCACTAGAATGTATATGTAGGTGAGATTAGTTCATATAAGCTCTACTCGGACAAAACCACAGTGAATATCAGATGTGTCCTATGGTAATTTATTGGTCATCCCTACTAGGTTGAGAGAGTAGTGTCTGTCGTGTTCCATTTTGCCGTATTTGTAAAAAGCTATAACTTAGATATAAACGAGGTGGTACCTTAAGACAATACCTGGCGTGGTTTACAAATCTAAGGTTTTCGGGGTGTTTTGCTGCATCCTTACAGTAAGATAACTTGATTTGCTTGTCGACATCTAATTGATGATATCAGATCAGTGTATCTCTGTTATTGTGATACAATGAATTTGTAAATTCATATAGAATAACACAAAGTATTAAGGAGATGATGAATTGTGGGAATTTGTAGCTAAATAACATCGCTCATCTCTACTTCTTTTTAGCTAAACCCGGCCATAGCATCAATAACAAATCCACCGTCCTAGAGTTTATTTTGCTCGGTAATTTATCACAGAAACTTTATGACTGAGTTTGCTGTAGTTTTATGATTTCACTCAATCAAATGACCGATATAAAGTAGCTGTACAGAATGGTTCTACTAAGTGAATGTTTCATATCTGTGTATGAAGGCAAATTCTTTTGTAATTTGATCCTCGTATAACGTTTATAACATTATTGTTATGTATCCGAACTATTGTTTCAGGTATTAGAGAGATTTAATTGCACCACACCTTATATATGTAGGATAAAATTCCTTGACATGCTTGATTATTCCTGTCACACATACTATTTTGGGTGGATTAGTTTAGAACAGTGCTAATTTAAAGGAATTCATTCATAGTAAAATTGTAAATGATTTTAGGATAATAGTTCAGAAATGATTAGGAAGATATATGGCGCAGGTGTATGGAAATGTTGCCTGAGAAAACGATGGCGCTTTTCAGTTAAACCATTCATCTTGTAGAACATAATTTCAGCAGCAAGGATTAATGAACTGTTGGTGCGACCATCCAAAAAATATTTACATGATTATTTATCATATCTAACAAATCTTCAGTGTTTGTTAATGCAGTTTTCAGATATGCTTGAAGAAGTATACCAGGAAATGGCCTACACCATTTCAATACCTAGGGTCAACTCAGACTAATGAGTCAGTCGTTGAAAGCTCGGTGGCTGCTTCAGTGATCCATAACTTCAATTCAGTATACAACTTATACCTAATTAGCAATTGTTTAGTGACGTGTTTGTAACCAAAGTTAGTGTAAGTTAAGATCCCCTCAGACTGGTTGACTAAGTTTTCAGCGTCAAAATTTGCACAGGAGTCCAGCATTTCAAGTTGCCGAATTCGATATTGCACACAGATTTAGGGAGTAAAATTCAAAGGAACTATAATGAACGGGATTGTACAGGTGAAAAGATAGTTACATAGAGAGTTAAGTGGATTTAATGTATCTGAGAGATTACAAATAATGAATACATCTGCACCATTGAGAACGATTCTAAACCACATCATTGTTCTCCACCCACTGGTTATTAGCATCTCGATGACCCCAGCTAGACAGTATACACCTCCCTACGTTGCTCAGTCTAAGTTCCAAAGTCTTCATGAGTAGGTATGGTGTTCTCACTTGACCAATCCTGGCTCTTTTCTAACCGAATCAAGAAAGACGGTGGCTTAGCATGTGGAACACGGGTTCTAGCCATCTCAATAGATGTAGCTTCACAACTTATCTGATATCATAACATTGTCTCTAGCTTAGCTAGAGCTGCCAAATATATTCGGTGTGTCTTTCTAGATTACGCATCTACCAATGACTCTTTATCCAGGCCTCTTGTTAAACAAGCTTGTTGCGACACAAGCACAGGGCTGGACTAATAAGGAGGAGGGACAGTACACTGTTGACAATGGGAAGTGCTCCAGTGCTTCACTCACTCTAGCTGATGTTCCTCAGGGAGTACATTAGATTCCCAAGCTGATTTCAGAATGATGAATGTCTGTTTTGCCTTTCCGATTGTGGTTTTGAAATCTTCACCTGTGCTGCCAGTAGTTGAAACGATGCCTCCGAAATATACGAAAAAGCTGACTTCCTTCAAATGTATCCCGTTTAAGGCGGGTGGTGCTTGTTGTTTTTGTTGTTGTTGGTTAGGTGTCTTCACCATTATCTTCTCCATGTTCACTTGAATTAGTGTCTTCACTGTCTGCCTCTTCTGCCAACTTGTTGGCTTTTGCTTTTAGATCTTTGAGTTTGTGTGGTATTAAACATAAGTCTTCCGCCAAGTGCAAATCTTCTAGAGTCTTCTTGTGAACCCAAGGTATTCCTGTCTTCTCTCTTTCCACAGCCTGCCGCATGATTCAGTCCACCACAGTCAGGAATATTAATTTAGATGAAAACCAGTTGTGTAATAATAAACCAGTAAATGAGTCAGAGTTTTTTTATTCAGCAGTTAGACACAGTGATTATGCTTGGTTTTCTTAACAATTTTCCAGTTTTTAGTCTCTTTAGTTGATCTGATCAGAAAGTATCTTATATCTCTCGAAACGGAAACATGGTTATAACTATAGAATAAGTAGTGAATTGGCTCTTTTTTATTCCTTTACGTTCCCAGTGGAACATAGGGCTTCAAGCTAGAGGCTTGGAGTTTCTGTAGCAGTAAAAGAATGGCCGGGGATTGAACCCCGGACCACCTGCGTGGTCGGCGAACATTCTACCGCTGTGTCACCGACTCTCGTTTGTTTAAGTACTGGACTTTCAGCCTTTGAGTCACAGTCCTGTTTCGCCTACTTTGGCCTGGGAAACCAGGAACTATCACTAGCCTTCACACATTATCAAGTATGGCTTGTAGTCTTACATTTGAATGATAAGTTCTTCGTGTTTGAGTTCAAACAACTGTGAAACAAATATATTGTAGATAAGTTACTCGGAGTCATTGTCATACTATATTACGTAATCTCCTGTAACAATGAAAACGAAGCTTTTGATGACATGTTTTTGATGAGTTTTAAGAAAATTGAATAGAATATAAATATGCAAGTATCTGATGTATTACGTTTAACTGCTAATTTAGAGCCAGTTATATTGCTCATTCCTCTGGGAACTTAGTTTTCGCTGCTCAGGAATATATACTAGTATGGTGAAATAAAGGTGTAATAAAAACTGTTAGCCGTTCGATATTAGACTACCTGCTTCAAAGAAGCCATAAAGTTAGTATTGAATTATCTTTTCCTATCATCCATTGGGTACCGAACACAAACAGTAGAGGCTAATCCACTTCGTGTGAAACAACTGGAACTCTGAATGCAAAAGAATTAGGTTCACCCACTATTGATCTGCTATCTAGCCTTTAAATTCATCAATTCTGTGTTGGTTTTTTTAAAAAATTTACTTAGTATTTAGCTCAGAGTTATGCTAATGCACATTATCACTTACAGATGCTTTCGAACTATAATCTATCGATAGCACCGACTCAATGTAATTTAAAACATTAATGTCGTTATTAAAAATCAGTCCTCAATTATTATGGACATGTAACTGTTGGATGTGATGAAGAAGTTCACGATAAGGGTATTCTTTCTTCACTAACCAGTCTTATTAATGGAGATCTTTAATCAGCTAAAATATTGACGAAGCCTTCAAATATCAATCAACCTGATTTTATAGTAGTTCTGGTGAGTTATACTGATAACTGTTACTTACACTTAAATCACCTTTATTTGTGTGTGTGTGTTCAAAAGCCGCTTGTCATCACACGAAACCTCTCTCAATATCTTTTCTTTTGAAAGAAAGACTCATGTATTACTTTCCTTTCCCCATCCCCCGCCTATTTAGGTTTATTGTGATCTCTATTGTTATTCTGACTCTCAATATAGCCTTTTAACTCGGCCTTTGTTTATTCTCTCATCCCTCAATGTCATATGGTTTCTTCAAATATAAATCCCTATGATAAGTATTTGTTTTATCAGATTGTTCGAGAGGTATTGCGTGGATACAATACACAATTCAGCTAAATTATATCTCCTTATACTGTTTTGTAGAAATTCAAAAGTCATCACTAGTCAAAAATTTTGTAAATATATATTTCGAGTTGTACTGTTTAATGTAAGACTTAGGGGAAAATCTAAGTGGAAGTAAAATAAGGTTGTTGTTTGTTTGAAATGTCTTGTTGTCAGTTTTTTAAACTATGTAAAACTTTTCAATTTTTATTTGTCTCTTTTGATTAGATGATTAGAATAAATTGCCTACATCGCCTTTTGAAGAAAAATGAACCATTTTTCAATTTATCAGTGTCACAATTCAGATATTCAACAATATATAAATCTTTGCATATTCCTGTTATGCAATCAGAAATCATTGAGTATACACAGCCTAAACCGGGCCAAGTCAGTGATCCTTTTTTTTAAAAACGTTTTACTGGGAAACCTTTTAAAATCTCTTTCATAAAATCTGTTACTGAAAGTGAGATATTACGATAGTTTTTCTTTTGGAGACGCAGAATATACAATGTACAGACTGTGACCTGTTTGAAACTATAAATGGTAGTAAACAAAGCAAGCAAAATTGTCGTGAATTGGCAAAAGTTGGATTTCATGGGTCATTGGATTAGTCTCGGTGACTTAATGGTCTATGAGCTTGCTTTGTAACCAGAAGGTCCTGAGTTTGAATCCAGGTGAGCGTGTTTTGATGAAGAGTCCCACGCTAGGACGAAACATCTGTCCACTACTCCCAGCCGGCTTCCCAATGGTTCTCTAGTCGATGTGAGCTCACGATGCAGTCCTGTAACCAAGCAATCAAAACTGTACGATGATGTATACTACTACTACTACTACTGATTGATATGATAAACCTTGGACTACGTAGTTTGCAAGTGATGAATTCTATTGTTTCATTAGTTCGCTTAAGTTGTCAGACGGAATTTGGGTTGTTCGAAGCGATTCGGTTCTCTAGACTGAGACACTGGATCTCAAACAAGCGAAATACCAGTCCATTGTTCGCATTATCCTGATGTAGTTAATTAAAACTATACTACTTAATGTCACCAATTTCTATCCACATATAACTTGAATTGTTTGTCACTAATTAAGAGGTGTATCATAAAATAAATATAGAATTATGCGACGTTTCGTAGCTTCATGTGATGTCATTATTCCCTTAATTCACTATAAAAACGTTTCTTTTATAACTACACTTTATAATGCTAATGCATTTTTGTTGCGGTTCACCGACTTAAATATTTAAATTTCAACTAAGAAACTTTAATATTTATTGAATTTGAGATTTTCCCGTTAATTGATTGGACCAAAGTGCTCGGTCTCAGGTTGACATGTCGGCTTGTTGTGCAGGTGCTTCGACGATGTCTGGGCATTTAATTAGAATTTAATTTGTGAATGGTGACTAGCAGTGGAATCCAGGATGTGCATTTCGTCCTATTTGGGACTCGTCAACTGGATGTACCTGCGTTTCCCAGTGTGTGATGATGTTCCCACCGAGGCTTGAACCCAGTGCCCACGGTTTCAAACGCCAAGGAGTTATCCACTAGACCACTTGGGCCACGATAGCCACCTCTTTTGCAACGGGCCATATTAATTTTAATTGAATTTGAGATTTTCCTGTCGAGCCTCGGTGGGGACATCATCACTCACTGGGAAATGCAAGTACATCCAGCTAACGAGTCCCAAATAGGACGAAATGCGCATCCTGGATTCCACTGCTAGTCACCATCCACAAATTAAGAAAATCTAAGTTCAAATTCTGCCCACCCTGGCGCTCACAATGAATGATGACTGAGTCCTGTTCTCATGATATTTCGTTTACATTTCAAAGTTCATGACAATGCTGTGGTGATAATAATAAGCTTGAAAAAGTATCTCTACATGCTCAAATGAATAACTCTTTGACTTTTGAAACTATGCATACTGGGCTCGAAATTCATTAGGAACGCCATCACTCACCAGGAATTCAGTTACACCCGAATGATGAGTTCCAAAAAGGACGAAATGCATATCCTGGATTCCATTGATAGTCATTATCCACCAAATTACTTCACCGTTAATGATAGTTCGTATATTAACTTACTGACAATTTTTGTGGAATTATACTTATAATTTTATATGATTATTTTATTAATTCATTTGTTATAGGTATATTTAGATATGACTTTTGGTACTGGAGGTCATGCAAATGAAATATTAAAATATGCATCAAATAATTTAACTTGTTACTTCTTAGACCGTGATCCAACAAGTTTACGTTATATGCAACAACTTCAAACAGCACATAGTTCATCGAAGTAAGTTCATAGTCGTTGTTCTCTGATGCTGTTATATGTATAATGTGTTGTTTATTGAAACATCTACTTTGATCAATTTTCTTTATCTACCAGATCATGAACAACAGTTATTGTGTGAAGACTCTTGATACTACCCAGTTACTCAGGTTGAAGTAGGAGGAGCAAGGTTCGAACCCGGGATCCGTCGGTTCGAAGTTGAGTGCTTCAACCAATCAGTTACACCTTCCCTTACCTCAGAATGCAAAACATGATCTGTTGATTTATGGTTGTGTGATTTAATAGTGGGAATCTTATTCCACACTGCATTTGTTGCTTCGTGCAGCTATGGGTGAGCGCAATGCCGTATAGTTTCTGCATAAAACAAAAGAACGTTGTGGTGTTCGTTGAAGCTAGCGGCAACTTAACCAAATCAACAATTAAATTAGGGATTGATGTTTTCAAATGTTTCGATTACATTTATTTTTCTTCCGTCGGACTTGAACCTCTCATTTTTCTTTCAAGGTTACTTAAGTGTTCAATGAACGAAATATTCCCATATTGCGTCATAGGAAAAGGGACGAAAAAAATTGTTCTTTTCGACGATTCATTTTCATGAGCTGTACAATAGCAATTATATTTAACAAAGAAATGCTTAGACCAATCAGATACTGGTAAACTCTGTCCATGAAAAATTGTATTACATAATGTAAGGTGTAAGAAGGGATGACTAATTTTAACTTAGAAAAGAGACAGAAGTTGGCATGACGTAATAAGTGTGAGATAATGGCTTATCAATAAGCTCGAGTCGAACTGGTGGAAAGGCGATAAAGTGTCTTTTGTATAAAATCTGTATGAAAAAGAAATGTTATTAATAAACAGTAATAGAGTGGTAATAAAATGTGGATGATGGGAATAATAATGATAATAAAAGTATTAATAACAATAATAATAAGAGTGAACATGCATAATAAATGAAAGAAGTAAAGGTGTAGTAAGGACTTTACTCTGGCCACGGTAGGGCGAGAGAATGTATGTATCGCTTTTGAATGCAGAGGTCCGGTTTCAGGTCTCGAATAGCTAATGCTTCAGCTATGTACAGATGGCGTATCCGAAGTCCCTTTGTACGATATTGAGGGACTCTGTGTCACTGTGAAGCATTCATGTGGGGGTGCTGGATGTCCGGAGATGACGAGGTGTTCGAGGATAGAGCTGCTGCTATTCTTCTTTTCTCCTCTGGCTAACCAAGCTGGACAGTGTTCCAGAATACGTTTGTGGACTTGACGTTGCGTACGGCCGATATACTTTGCTCCACACGAGCAAGTAAATTGATAAATGCACAACGCAACGTCAAGGACAAAGTTTACCAGTATCTGATTGGTCTAAGCATTTCTTTGTTAGATATAATTACTATTGTACAGCTCATGAAAATGAATCGTCGAAGAGAATGGAAAATTTTCTTCGCTATTTAAGTGATACTATTTTGTTTTTGGAACTATCGGCACAACGAGAAGTATGGAGATTGTTGACATTAAGGAGTTGAAAAATAGCTTTCAAAGTGTGGTTAGCTATTATTGTTATTGTGGGGATTATGAATTAACTGATTGTTGACATGAAAACTGGCGTAAAGCCGTGATGATTCTTGAGAATAATGCTTATTGTATATTTTCCAGTGTTGTCTTGCAGGGATATCAGCTCATGGGCAAACTTGTCACCAATCAGATTCCTGTGAACCAACACATAAAAATTAGTCTAATGCTTACTAGCTGCTAGAATACTTAGGAAAAGTCGTGACCAGCTGTGTTCACCAAGTCAGGTAATAAGACAGTTATTCACTGATGACGAAACACTTGTCCAGGACTTCCTGCTTATTTTTTCTGTATGTGCATTTAAAGGAAACCGTCAGTGGTATATTGAGAGTGCAACTTATTTGACTTTAAATCAGTAGGTCCCGGGCTCAAATTCCTTCCTACTCACTTCGGACTGCACTAATAATTAGCATCAATAACCTTAACACAACGACTGTGGCAGATAACCCTGCTATATGAATAATCAGTTCGGGATTATTGGATTGTAACCTTAGACAAATGAGTTTCAAAATTATATTCTAACAATCGTAAGTTGAATGCATATTTTAGAGGATAAAACAAGTTGACGAGTAGTATGTAAGATACAATTATATGAAAATAGGTATATGTATTCCACACTTCTCAATGTAATATCAGCCAGAACTCGAACCATGACGCCCGCATTATAAATATGTTATATTTTAATATATCATTTATACCATTTCGTTTCTTCAGTCATCGAATACAACCGTTAATTGGACGATTCAGTGATCTTCCTGAACTACTAAATAAATTTGATATAAAATATCATTCAATTGATTTAATTCTTATGGATTTGGGTGTCAGCTCTCCCCAGTTGGATAATGAATCACGTGGATTTGCTTTTAGACATGATGCTCCATTAGATATGCGTATGAATCAAAGTCAATGTGTACAGTAAGTTTAAATAATTGAATCAGGCGTTAATATCCTATGTTTTATAGCATTGAAATACAGTTCGGAAAATAATATGAATGATTTTAAAACACCAATTTCATAACCTCTTGTCGTCTAAATTATTTAGTGTTCATACAACAAATGTTGTCAGTGTTCCTCCTTCCTGTAATTATTTCTATATAAAGTTGGATACTATCTTTTGTATCTTTTCCAGTCTACTCTGTAATTATGCAACATCAATGCCTTCCATCTCTATGCTATGTAACATCCAGATGACGAGTCCCAAATAGAACAAAATATACATCATGGATTCCACTGCTAGTCCATCCACCAATTAAACTAACATGGGTTACAATGGAGGGAAATGTGCGATTTATAAACCAGGTTTTCAAGTATAAGTGTATCGCTAGCGAAGACATAAACATGATTATATCGGCTTCCCTTCATTTTACCTGTTTATGTTTGACTTATAAAAAAAATCGAAGTACTTACCAGTAGAGATTTGTGTAACTAGAATGACAATTCTAACTGCTATTTTAAATACCACCCTGGTAGTTTTATTGTAAATTAATGTAAACGTGAAATATGACTGTTTGCAGTATCCAACCAGTGTATTATCATCAACGAGTAATTAGAATGGAATGCCGCGTGCTTCTCAGTAGTTTTTTCTTATTTAAAAAACTGATTTGAGTTTAAGCAAAGAAAGAACAACAGATTTCGCAGGATAATATGATCTCGTCGTCTTACTTCGTCAGCGTTCTTTCCAACTGCATAAAACCTCAAACAATTTTTATATGGATATAAGGAATATTCATATACGTGAATAATTGACTACGACTAAGCTGCGTATTATCACCGATGACATTCCTAATTGTGATGGATTGGCTTATGCGTTAGACTGTATGTGGGAAGTGAGAAGACAGGAATACGCTGGACCACTGATAAGAAGACTCTAGAAGTCCTGGATTTCTCAGATGATTTGTGTTTAATGTTACACAAACTCGAAGACTTGCAGGTGGAAATCAACAAATTGTCAGAAGAAGTAGCGAAGAAAGGGCTCCGAGTGAACATTGAGAATACAGAGATGATAAAGACAACCAACCAACACCAATCACTATCAACGGGAGAGATTTAACAGAGGCTACTTCCTTCACTATATGGTGGGCGTCATCGTTTCAACTACATGCGGAGCGGAGGAAGATATCAAAGCCAGTCGTAATCGGAAAAGCAAGATACACCTTCATCAACCTGCGTGCGTCGGTAGCACAGTGGTCAGGACTCTCGCCGACCATGCAAATGGTCCGAGGTTCGAGCCCTGGCCGACGCACACCTGATATCTATGGTCGGCCTGCGAAATTTGGGCTACCGATATCCATGCTGAAAATTCCATAACTGTACCAAAAATACGGTGTGGAATCAAGTTGCAATCAAAAATAAAATAAAAAAATAAAAAATAAATCAAGTTTGGAAATCTTCTGCACTCAGTCTACAGAATAAGATTCGGATTTGCACTGAGTGTCAGGAAAAGGACTTCCAACAAGTTGCGGACTTTTATCAACAGCTGCCTTGGCTCTATATTGAAGATTGATTGACTAGAAAGAGTTAGCAAAGAAAAAGCTATGGGGACAAACTAACCAATCACCGATAGTTCGACAAATATATAGGAAAAAATGGAGATGGATCTAGCATACATTAAGGAGACCGTTGAATGACATCATGCACTAGGCTGTCGAGCGGAATCCAAATAGGAAGCGATGAGCGGGTCGTCGGTGTGAGAGTGACATGGAGGAGATGACTCGGTCCCTGGGGACATCTTATTAAATAAACTTCCTGCAAGTCAAACAGAATGTTGGGCTGTTAACTGGTTACATTCCTATTTCTTAGAAAGAAAGCAGTACAGCGTGTATAAAAGGAAGTCTTCCACTTCATTGCCTACTGAAGCTGGTGTCCCTCAAGACACTGTCCTTTCTCCCTTTCTGTTTTCTTTCTTCTTGCATGACTTGCCTCACTCTGATGAAATAAACTTTGTGAAGTACGCTGATGACTTAACAGTTTCAATGGCTGTTAACTCCCAGCTAGATTGTACCAAAATAAATAGCTTTCTATCGGAAGTCAGCAAATGGTCTGAGTCTAACGGTCTTAAACTGAATCCTTCTAAATGTCAAACTGTTAATTTCAGCTTAAGATGTAAAAGAGTTAAAAGAAGTCATCGATTCTCATGCCAGTTGTAAGATTGACGACAATGATATAGGAATCAAATCAGAAATTAAGTATCTTGGGCTTATTCTCTCTTCTGATCTCTCCTGGATTTCCCATGTCTTAGCGATCTCCAGTAAAATATTCCGCCTGACATTTTACATTAAGAAGTTAAGACACTCGGGTATAACTCAACGCCTCCTCCTACAGTTCATAAACTCTTGCATCCTACCTATTCTTCTTTATTGTTCACTCTTATTCTTTCCTAGTTTGCTTAAAAAGGACTATGTCACAATTCGTAGAATGCTGAAGACGGTCAGTAGGGTGAGTGGTGTCCCGGTGGACCACATAGTTAACATCGTTGTCGATAGCCACTTGACTTCGTGCAATCAATTTGCTAGAGGGATTTTGTCTGACTTGGAGCATCCACTTTGCGCTCAGTTTTCACCTTGCATCTCCTCGGGGAGAACAAGAAGTAACTTCAGAAAACTGTATGCTCGCACGTCTAAGTATAGAAATTCAATGATACCATACTTGGCACGTATCTTATGTGACGAAAATAGTGTCAGGCAAGAATTAACTAACCTTTTTTCATCTACTAAATAAACAATTTCCTCCATCCATCCTTATATACCTTCAAGTTTTACTTTTATTATTTCTATTATATTTATGGTCCTGTTGCTTCTTTGTTTCACTTTCAAACTCGCAAACACTAACTTATCTCTATGACTGCTGTAATCTTTGTTTTTCCCCTCACCATATCATGTAAAGAGAACATTATATTCAATATTTTTAAACATGCTGGGATTTCTATACCGCATTGACAATACTGTGTGAAAGAGGCCGACGGCAATTTTCACTTGTATTATTATTATTACCTCAGCTGTTACCATTATTATTATTATTTCCATTTTATATGCTGCATGTTTTTGACACTACCTCTATTGTAAATGTGGAAGATTTTCTGTGATTAATTTTATTTATAATTTGAGGATATTAGATGCAATATTGTGATTAATGCTGAAAATTCCATTCTGTATCACAAGTACTGTTTTTGGAATAAAGTAAATTATTGTTATTATTATGAGAGATTACGGGAAGTCTTGGACCCAGCTGAAGAGGGTTGCAAAAAATAGGACAAAGTGGAGATGTGTTGTTGAAGCCCCATATCCCATTCGGAAATCAAGGGAATAGTGATAACAATGATTTATTGAGCATAGAGATGGAAGCCATAAGAATAACGACGTAATGAAATGGTACAATGAAAGGAGTAAAGGTTGTTTTATCAGACTAGTTAGTCCATATTAGAAATAATTACACGAATATTCTAGAATTAGGAAGGAAAGTTGCAAATTGAATGAAGTTGTAAAAGTGACAATAAATGTCAAGTAATAGTTAACTGATTTAGTCAAGCAGAGGTAGAAAAATACAACCAGGTTAAGAGTATGGATAAGGATAAGATTCGGAGTATGAAAATACACTGTCAAAACAAAGTGCAATTAAAATAACATGAAACACATTCACTATGATAGGATGAGACTAACGATGGTTTCTTTCTGAATTTACAAGTTCTGTTTTCATTGGTTAATGACTACTGCTTCAGTGATGAGTAGTAATTATTATTTAACTTATTTAATTATCTTAAATGATTTTAAAATATCGACATCATGACTTCTGTCCCTCCAAATTACTGAACCATGTATGCAATATGTGTTGTCAACTTTTACACTTCTTATTCTAGAATATCTCTAATGATTTCTGTATTTACGAAACAACAAGTCTAATGTGAATCGGTGGTTCAGGAGTGCTGCGATTTCGACTTCCGTCCAGCGCACTCCTAAACCTCATCTAGCCAGTAGTGGGCTTAGAAAAGAGGGAAGCTTGACTGTGAGGATAGCAACCTCACCCTGTAAAAAACAACACTATTGCTACAGAAACTCCAAAGCTTGAGGCCCTACGTTTTACTCAGAATGCAAAGGAATGGAAGGAAATGAACACTAGCAGGTTCAAGACTATCTTTTGTCCTTTCCGTTCTACTATGTAATTAAGCAACATCAATCCTTTCCATCTCCAAAAGTATGCGAATATTTTATACACTGATATTCAAAATGTTTTAGGTTGTATGCGATTAAATAGAACACCGACGAAATAAAACAATGATATCATCTTATCCTGCTTAATTTGTGTTTCTTGCTTTCTTGAAGTTGATCAAGGAGAAAAGTTGTTGTGGTTTAGGTTTGTAACGAAATTCACAATGAGTGTCAATCAAGTTCGTAATAACGTTAAGTCTGAACTGTATATGCTCTTAAACGAACGCGACTGTTTTTACTATGAATAGTTTAAGAAATGATTTGTCTGTTATGAAAATCTTGTAAGATGTATACCACTGATGCATTCAGGTGTCTGAAAATTAGTTATCGCTATTATTTCTATTATATTATTGTTTCCCTGCATTTAGATTGGAAACTTGTCTTTCAGTGTCACATTTCCGTTGCACGCAGCTATTTGATATCACTTTCAACCAGCTTGATAACAGTTCACAAGGTTTCGTTTTCTCTTCACTTGATCTACCCTGTATTTTTCCTCGGAAACCCGACCTGTAGCTTCTTACTCAGGTCCTAGTCAAGGGACTTGGACGTCTTTCTCCTCAATGTGTGATCAGTCTATCTACATATCCTTTTGCGTATTGTAGGATATTAGGTTCTTGACTTGTTCGCTGTCGGAGTTCCTTGCCATTTATCGTTTCTGGTCTACCATTTCATATTCAATATCTAGGCAGTGAAGATAGTTACTACATAAAAGTCTGATGGAAATGACTCAAAGTCTCTAAAAATCACTTATAACACTTAGTAATGTTTGTTGGTATAACAGAAAAGACACTAAATTTAGATGTCTTTATGTATTGATTAGACTGAGTTACATTCATATTAAACTCAATAGGATATGAACGATTTAATCGTCTTATATTTAGATGTTCTCTGCTTATTTACTGAACACTATTGATTGCTGTGGGTAGTTTTTCACTACTCTTATTTATCATCGATTGGTGTACATCTCGTAGTTTACTTTTGTAAGAACTTCACTTGACATCATGTTTAGTATTGAGCATATTTCTATTTTCCAAGTGATGCTTTGCAGGGATTTGACTAATTTCAAGCTTGATCACGAACTAACTTCAGTTAAAGAACTATTGAAAACCAGGGAGTACTGGACAACCGTTTCGTCCTTGCTCGGAACTCTTCACCAGTACTCACTCGAGATCAAACCAAGGACCCACGGGTTACCACACGATCTTGTTGATGATTAAGCCATTGAGACTGATTGCGATGACCCATAAGTTCTAACTTCTGCCACTTCGCTATATAGCGTGACCACCAGCCATTGTCAGTGGCGAATATTTTTCCTCATGCCCAACTTGGTGGACCGCATTTGCCACGTCCTCCCCCCCCACTAGAACTTCAGACAATTTCATCCGATAGTGAGTCACTAGACTCATTTTCAAGTGTTCTTTTAACTGATATCAAGATTGATCACGAAATGACCCATCCTATTCCTTTCTTTTAAATTTTTTATCGGTTCACCTACAGAAAAGATACACCAACTGCAGCCGAAATTGTTAATACACTGAATGCAGAAGATCTGTCTAAAATATTCAGTATTTATGGTGAAGAACGCTACTCTAATCGTATAGCTGATGTTATAGTCGATTATAGAAATGATGTTGGCGCTATCCAAACAACAAAACAGTTAGCGGATTTAGTTCGATCTGTTATCCCAGGGAAAAGAGAAGAAAGTGGGTGAGTATTAATTACTATTATAAATATTTTATTTGTCAAACTGACACATAATTATCTTCTTAAACTAGATATCTTGGAGATGTTGCCCATTGGCCCGCGCACTCGGCTTTTACCCAGTGGGTCTAGCGTTTGAATCCCACTACACCAACCTCAGTCTAAACAACTTGTCAGTACGACGCAATAATAAGTGTGCCTCATAGTCTGATACATAAAATGTATGATCCGGGTAAATAAAATGAAAGAAAACTAGACACATGTGACTGTGATACGGTGTCCATTTTCTGATAGATACTTTTCAACAAAGATCACAACACTTAATGCAGTCAGTCTACAGAGCAAACTCTTCATGCTGTTTCAAACGATGAAGTGGCCAGTCTTTGTTTAGATTTCATTAAAAGGAAGAGTAGCCTCGAAATAAAATGCACATATTGTCCTTCTTGTTTTCAACAAAAATAGAATCAAAATCCTCCAACTTATTTACAAATCTTCCCCAACACAACAATGACTAATATTGAGGTTAAGTTTAGAGTGTTAGATAAGGAAGGTAAGTGAAGGCGAATCGACTGAGATGGCTGGGACACCTTTTTCGCATGTTGACCCATCTCTTTCCTCGACGAGCAACGTTAGTTGACACAGAATTAGGTTCAGGGTTGGTCAAACAAAAGCCTGATATCGGTCCATCAAGTCTTCGACGGTTAGTTTTAGTCAGTCAGATAGGGAGGTGTAGATTGGGATACTAAAAACCAATGGCTTGAAACTATTGATGATATAGCTCAAAATTGTTCCCAGTGGTGCAGATGCACCCATCCTCTGTAATCCTCTCTCTTGTCTATTTTTATGTGCTACATGGAATGTGGCAACTTGGATTTCTGCATCTCTGTGCAGAGTTCTATACAGAAACTCAATCAGGTTAGTTGTTGCAGAAACAATAGCATATTGTAGTTCTATGAAGACAAAAAAAGTACCTCCTTTTGTAGAATACTGATCTTTTGTTGATTGACAACAAAGATTTGTTTTCTTTCTCTTTTTCTCCATATTTACAGTTCGATTCACCCTGCTACACGAGTATTTCAAGCGTTACGTATATTTGTCAATGATGAATTAAATGAATTATGCATTGGTTTACAGTTAGCTAATAATTTACTAAAGTCTGGTGGTTATTTAGCTGTTATATCATTTCATTCATTAGAAGATCGTTTAGTTAAATGGTTATTTAAGTATGATTGTGAACAATTATCAGTGTCCAAGTATTTGTCGTATCGTAGTCGAAACATTGAAGTGACGAATCTTTCTAAAAGATGCCAATATCAAGAGAATGTGAACACTGATGAAAATGAATCATTTAATACTGTAAATAAAATGGTGAAATGGAGTTTTGTAAGTTCTTTTCGTATTTCCTCTTTTTTATGTCAAAGAAATATAATTATTTCGTCGTCCAATTTAGGATTCGTGGTACAGTGGATAATACTTCGGTGTCTAAAAGGATAGACACTGGGTTCCAGTCTCAGTGGAAGAACACTATCAGTCACCGCTGATGCAGAGAAATACAGGTGATGAGTCCCACACGGGAGGAAACATGCGTCCTGCACTCCACTGTTAGTCACCACCAACCAAATAACACCAGTGTTAACCTCAAAGCATCATCGAATCGTCCGTACCAGGATACTGAAAATAATGACTTCAGAAAAAGTCTGAGTAGCAGTCTCCAACTCATTAGTGGTTACTGGATAAATGTCCTAAAGGGAGGTCGCAGCCAGTGAAGGAGGAGGAGATGGACGTTCATCACTGACGGCAGTGGCATATGTCTAGTTGATAGGAATCTTAATTCAGTGGTCTTACGCATACTACATTTTTTAAACGTTTTTTCCGAGATTATACTATTTTTCTCCGAAATTAGTCTGGTTCGCTCTAATCGCCGGCTTCAAGCGTATTCGTGTGTTCATATACTTGGATCACTATTCCTCAGCTTCGTTGTTCTCTATGAATTCTTTTGTGAAAATAAAGATATATCTGTCACAGAAACCCTTGTTAAACACAAGTAGATATACGTTTGTGGTTCAATGTTAGGACGCTCGCAAACTACGTAGATGACTCAAGTTCGACTCCAGGGCGACACACTCCTTAACATTGCCTATTTTACTAGCTGATAGTAAGCCTGGAAAATTAGGAAGCTTGAGTGAGATGCTAGTAGTCACACACAGTAAAATTAAAGTAACACGACCGCTGCTGAGTATTCGAACTTTTTAAGCCCCACTCAGAACGCATATGAATGTAATAAAAACACAAGTAGATAGAATATAACCAACATCCATTTTTGTCTATGATATATCCCTTTATGGATTACTGTCTATGTCACTGACCATATAAATGTTTCTTTTTGTAAATATGAAACACAATCCAGGGAAGGAAATTTTCTGTATCCACGAAATCATCTTCAGAGGCTATACAGTCGTATATATTTGTCGATAAAGAAAATTTTCTTCGCTGAATTGTCTTTAATTTTGTCCATGAATCAATGGATATATTCGGTGATTTCTTAAATATATTGATATTAAAATATACTTTTCGTCTCATGTCGTGGTGTGTTCTCAGTTAAGTACAAAGAGCATGGAAATCACGTAACTACCTACCTCTCATTGGTATTCAAGTATTGGTGCTCACTGGCGACTGGCCTTATTTAGGTAGGTAGTTACCTGGGTTCCAGTGGGAAGTCGTGACCAGTAGGGTGCAGCCGGTCGGGTGTGAGGACAAATACTCGCCGAAGACATTGGCTAGCGGTTGCGCTATGTCGTGAATTGGCAGAAGTTAGAATTCATGGGTCATTGGATCGGGTCCCAGTGGCTTAATGGTATACGAGCTCGCCTTGTGACCAGAAGGTCCTGGGTTCGAACCCCGGTGGGTGCGTACTGTGAAGAGTCCCAAACTGGGACGAAACAGTTGTCCAGTACTCCCAGGTTTCCAATGGTTCTCTAACAAATGTCAGCTCATGATGAAATCCTGTAACTTTCGCATTGTCGGTGAATTAATACCATGACAGGAGGAATATAGTTATCTGTATTATTTACGTTATTTAGTTATCACATTTAATTCAATTTGTACTTTTTTCATATTTTCGTTACAAGGTCATCGGACCATTAACTCCTTCAGACTCTGAAATTGACTCCAATCCACGAAGTCGTTCAGCAAAATTACGAATAGCCAGAAAAGCTTGATCAAAAAAGAAAAAGAAGAGGACGGGAAAACCTAAGAAGTCAGATTATGTCAGAACATCATTGTAAATAGTGTACATATATTGTATGCGACACGAAATTTTCATATTTTGAATCATAGCTTTCAGAGTCATGTCTTACTAAGCTCTTTTTACTTCGGCAAAATTGGTCTTACAGATTATTCTGTTGTATAATTACTGCTAATATTATTGGCAGTCGAAAAGAGAAATGAATAACCTGTAACCACACATTCGAAACAGATATTTTTATATACTAACCAGTGAGTCACATTTAATGTGTAAAGACTTTATTCCCAACTTGGTTGCTAAAATTAAAGTTAGCGAAGCGAGATTCGAACTCACGACCGAATGTCTAAACTAATGAGCTACATTTCCGCTGGTTCAGTGATAGAATGTTTGGGAACTACGCACATAGTCCGATTTCGATTTCCAGCCAACGTACTTCTAAATCTTGCTTAACCGAAGACAATAAGCCTAATGAAGGAGGAAAGGTTGGACACATGAAGCTAACAACAAACACGGTCGCTACTCTGAAACTTTAAAACTCAAGTCTAAAGTCCTACGTTCTATTCGGAAGGCAAAGGAATGAGAAGAACACCTCTCTAACGCATTACAAAGTCCTCATCATGTTATATTATTATATTAGTAACTGCCCATATTCATAATTAGTATCAATCCCGTTACTAACACCGTCTTTAAAGGTGTCCAATGTACGTGTTACACTACAACTAAATATTTAACATTAGCCACCCCAAAACAAGTGTTGATCAATCAAAACTATTTTATTTGAATATATATATATATATATATATATATATATATATATATATATATATAGAGAGAGAGAGAGAGAGAAGTATTTACAACATTTAATATGGCAAAAGTGAGTAAATTAAAAGAGAGAATTAATACTCTACAGCAAATGATTTTAAAGTTTGTAAAAGTTTTTTATGCTTGATAAAGTTTTTAAATTCATCTGTTGATATCCATGCATAGTCTTTAATACTGGCAAACGAAGAAGTCTCGTTATTGATGCTTAAATCTTCACCGTGCCAATGTCTATCAACATATACATTATAAAAGTACACCTTGAAATAAAAAAGAGGAAAAAGGAATACAAATATTACCAATGTATCACAATTAAATGAGCAAAAATTGACTCTAACTGACTTCAATGACTTAGGGATTCGACTGGTTACCAGGGGTATAGTCTTGTTGACTTAAAATATGGGCATGATAGAGTCCTCCTAGGTAAGGACTCTGGTAAAGTGCAGAGTCTTTTGAACGCCTTGAGTAACAGTCTTCGAATGTTTGGCGTGCAATTTGCTCCTGTCAAACATAAGATGATGCTACACGACTGAAACACACCGATTCCTTCCTAGCTTAAAGATAGGAAGTGAAGGAGTAGAGCGTGTTGACCACATCACTTACTTAGGAAGTCGCGTCAGCTCCAACGGCCTGATCGCTGACCAAATCTCAACATGGATACAAAAGCCTTGGACTGCATTTGTCATCTTACGGTATCTCTGGCGTAGATATGATATCCGACTATAGACTAAAGGATGTTTCTGTCCTCCTTTATGGCTGTGAGTTAGACATGTCCACTGAGAGTGGAAGATACGAAAAGGCTAGCTATATTTGGTCACAGGTGTCTGCGTTCTATTACCTGTGTTAGTTGGTGTAATAGGGTGAGTAACATTGAGGTTAGGTTAATAACATTGATAGGTAAGGACCGAAGTTCAATTGACGAGGTTGTGGGGCAACTGCATCGACTAAGGTGGCTAGGACATGTGTTACGCATGCATAGCCGTCACCTTCCTCGATAGGCAACGTTAGCTGTTATATGATCAGAGCTAGAAATGAGCTAGAGATGGTTAAACCAAAACTTTACATCAGTCCATGAAATCTTTGATAGTTGGTTTGAGTCAGCCACATAGAGATGTGCAGAGACTGGTTGGGTTATTCAGGATGGTGCGAGCCAACGGCTAGAGACAATATGGTGATATGACTCAAAGCTGTTCCCATTGACACAGATACATTTACTCTTTGGTGATTTCCCATATGCATTAAACCCTAATCTTTCTCCGTCACTGTTTTTTCTTCCACCATTTTTCTGCTTATTACAGTCCTTTTGAATCCCTTTTTTCTGCTCTTTCTGTGCTTCATGGATTGCGCCCACTTAAACAACTGTACTTCTGTGAAACGCTTTATGCAGAAACTCAGTCAGTCAAATGTGCAAAAGAAAAGCGTCTTTAGAATGATAACGGCATTATACACAATCATTTAGATAATCTTTACTATCCATACACGTGTTTGACAGGAAATGTCGCTAGTGGCAGTACTAGTCAGCAAACTCAATCAATCAGAAGCGTCAAAAAAAGTAAACATTATGCATAGTAAAGAAATAATAACTGCTAGTTTAACAGGCACACTTCATGCAGCACAAAGTGCACATTTAAAAAAAGAAAGAAACGGAAATGCACTGGAGAAAGAATAATTATGTAAAGGATTTAGTGTATCTAGGAGTTCATAAAGATTGAATGTGTCTACGCCATTGAAAACTATATTGACCCATATCACCACAGCCAGGCAATCTTTATCTACCTTTTTTATTCCCTCAAGTTCCCAATGGAATATAAGGCTTCAAGCTAGAGCTTTGAAGTTCCGATAGCGGTGGTTTTATTTTTACGGGGTGAGGTTGCTAGCCACACGCCCGACCTTCCCTCTTTACTGGCGTAGCGAGTTCTAGGAGTGCGTCTGACGGGAATCGAACTCCGAACCACCTGAGCGGGCGTTCTACTGCTGAACCGCCGACGCACCTATGCCTACCTATATGATTCTAACCACCAGTGGAAAGCTTCATGGATCAACACCACGCTTTGGTTTGACCAATCCTAACTCCTCATCTTATCCGCTGTCAGTTAACATTGTTGGATGGGGAAGGTGATGGTTAGGCATGCATAACCAATGTGAATGTGTTGGACATCATCTAAGTGAAACATAATGACAAATTGCATCAGCAAAATCATTCAGCATAAAAATCGTTTGACAGCTGGTTGATTCTCTTATTGGTGAAGTTATCACTAACTACTAAACTAAATCCGCATCAAACCTGAGGTACAGGACAATTGAGCACGTAAACTAGTTCTTTACATCTATCTTTAAGAGATCATTGGTTTCTAATTCGATTTTGACTTTCCCGTTGATTGATTGGGCCGAAATATTCGCTCTTTGTGGACAAGTTGGCTCCTTGTGCGAATGTATCGAAGCTGTTTAAGTATTAACTTGAAGTAATTTATTGGATGACGACTAGCAGTGGAATCTAGGATGCGCATTTCATCCTATTTGGGACTCTTCCTCTCAATGTACCTGCATTCCCAGTAAGTGATGGTGTTCCTACTGACATTCGGATCGTTTGAAAAATCAAGGCGTTATCAGCTAGACCACTTAAGCCACGAAGACATTTCGATCCAATCAAACAACGGGAAATCAAAATTGAATAAAAAATAAATAACTGACACCCTATCGTAAAAGAGGTGGCTCAAATGGTCCGGTCAATAACGATTTTAGTATTTGAAACGATGCATACTGAGTTCAGGCCTCAGTAGGAACACCATCACTACTCACTGGGGAGTGTAGGTACACCCAGATTACAAGTTCTAAACAGGAAGAAATGTGTCCCGCTGCTAGTAGCTATCCACCAAATTATTTTCAGGAGAGTGTAAGTAATCGATTTATCTCGGTCAGTCAACATGAATGAAACGCAATCTAATACAAATGAATGAATGATGTAATACGCTATGCAAATTAGTCTGCTTTACTATTCCATGTATGCAGTTGTCTATTCGAGTACTGTTTAGACAGAGAATTCGACTGATTTTTCTACCAACAAGATACGAACCATCTCGTATTTTTCACAAGTTGGAGAAGTCTATTACTACTTATTTTTTTATATTTTTGATTACAGCTTGATTCCACACTGTATTTTTGGTACAAGTATGGAATTTTCAGCATGGATATCGGTAGCCCAAATTTTGCGGGCCGACCATAGATATCAGGTGTGCGCCGGCGTGGGCTCGAACCCCGGACCATGTGCATAGTCGGCGAGAGTCCTAACCACTGTGCCACTGACGCACTCACAAGTTCAGCCATTATTACTATCGTGGCTTGCTGTAGAATTCTATAAATTCATAAATAGTTTATTATGTTATACCTTTTGGTTATGACCTTAACTCTCAGATCTACCTTCAAAATGGATACACTTACCTGAGTGCCTGTATCTTTGTCACTCTGATCTTGAGATAACCAAACAGCAACTGGAGCATTACCAAATATAGACCATTTAGCTCTTGAGGGTAATAAACTACCCGCTATAAAATCTGCAGTCTAAAAAGAGTGAAAACAAAAGCCGATATCTTTCTGAAGGTAATGATTACTAGTATACACTTTTGTAAGTCATATTAGATTACTTGGAGGATTTCATCACGAGCTGACATCAGTTAGAGAACGATTGGAAAACCTGCAGAGAGTACTGGATAACTGTTTCGTCCTAGTTTAGGACTCTTCGGCAGTACGCGCTCGCCGGGATTCGAGCCCAGGACCTTCCGGTTACAAGGCGAGCTCGTAGATCGTTAAGCCACTGGGACCTGATTCATTGGCCCATGAATTCTAACTTCTGTCAATTCATTACAAAGCGCCACCACTTCGAAGTGGGTGCGTGCTGACGAAGAATCCCAGACTAGGACGAAACAACTGCGCAGTACTCCCAGGTCGTTTTCCAATGGTTCTCTAACTGGTGTCAGCTCATGATGAAATCCTCCAAGTAATCACACAATATCCCTGCAAAATCAATACTTAGAAATTCAGTTTAGATTAGTTAGCTAAAATACTTGGTTACATTACAGTAAACACGAATAGAAATACTTTTCTTTATTTGTATGTATTTAAACAGGAAGGCATAAATGTCAACTTTAGGCTTGTTGGCATTCATATCGCTTTGTGATAAATTCAGAAGTCTTATCACTAGGGTTACTAAAATAATAACCAATTTAACTATCCTGTTCTAAGCTTGTGATCCAAATGTGTCGCTCAAGTGTATTACCAATAAGGCAAATGATTCGATAATGACCTTGACTACATCTGACTTAGTGGTCAAATGTTGCTTAGCATGCATATTAAGGCTGGAAGAAGATTAAAGCATGGTATCCATCTATCAAGCGATTAACTTTGGATATGAGATATCTTGAAGATAGTACTCTTCAGGATGGTTGAAGATACTTAATACTATGAACAGAAATCATTTGCAACGGTGGACATGCGCTCATTTTTGTATTCACTACAATTCTTTATATTCCTGTTAACTTGCTTATTTTAACTGATGTTTGGAAATTTGTCAATCAAGATTATTAGCTGGGCAAAACTTTACTTTCTAGGTAAGCTATATTACATAGCCCTGATTTTGTAAGCACTGTTTGTTTGACTAGTTTTCAGAAATTGTTCACCAAAGAAAATTATGATTTAGGTAACTAATGAAAACAAAGCGCAACAAATTCGTTTGAAATCAAAATATTTACTGAAGTGTATATTTTTAGTGGGAGAAGAAAAGAAAGTGTTACTAAACAACCACTTCTATCTTCACGTAGTTAGGGCAACTAGCCACGTCTATTGTGTGATCGGCTAATGTGATACTGTAACAACAAGACAAGGGCCAGGCAACAGATCGTTTATTAAGGAAATCAACGCATATATATATATATATATATATATATATATATATATATATATATAGATAGATAGATTTTTATGTACATATTATAGATTGTTAGGAGAAAAACACAGTCTTCTGATTGGTTGTTTCGCACAGAAAGTTAACCTTGCATCTTTTTGTGGCTGTTTCTTGAATGTCAGATCATCTACATGTTAACTGTATCCGCCTACGCAAAGCCTTTGTTCTCATTTTTCTCACGACCAATATTGGGGACACAAACATTGACGTAAATTACTGTCCACCAATTTCGGCTAACAGCCAGCTCTCACCACAATACTACACCCAGTTGGTCGAACGTCGGCAGGTGGGTACAGTGAAATTTTAACCCATGACCTTGTATGGCCGGAAGTTGGGACACCTCGTAAACCAATCAACCATAGCTCTACATTTTATTAGTGATCTATTGGATCATTCGTATGTTTCTGTATCGATCTATCAAACAACTTTAATGTAAATAACACTTAACTTATTGGAGCTTTGATTAATCATCATCTATAAACATAAACAGTTTCAGTCATGCCAGCCATAAACAACATTTGTTTTTTTTGGTGCAATATGAATACGGCATATAGACCGTGCAATTTGCAAATTGATCATTCATTAATGTAGGACACAGCAGTTTCTTTTCGTAGGTCAGATAGATGAAAAGCATTCGGCTGCTTTATAAGCAAAAGTACAATTCTGCTGTTATAATCTGATTAGCGAAATCTACAGACCAAGGCGAGTGATTTCTACAATTGTTTTCATTTCAATATTCAAGATAAATGAGGCTTAGCTTACCTGTCTTAAATTCTTCCCATTGACGACTGGTGCACTTGGGAGACTCCATCCATTGTAAATGTCTTTTGAGGATTGAACTAACAGAAATAAAGGTCTATCCAATACACGCCAAGCAGATTTTAAATTTCCATTTTTGTCATTCTCTAGGAAAGATTAAAAATATATATAAGAGTGGTACTTAATACATGCAATAATTAGATGATGAAATTACATTTAATTGCGCCATTAAAAATGTCTACTTTGATTCAACCACCTTTGAGCTGTCATTAACCCTCATGTAAGAGGCGTGGCTCATGTTTCCTAGCGAAAATTCGTGTATGTGTAGTGTATGCTACTGATGAGATGTATCAGTAGTATATAAAGAGACGTTCGTCGGCATAAAAACATCAAATAGCAGGGAGATAGATTTCACGTCTAAGAGAGAAAATGATTCGGGGTTGCGGCCAGACACAGGAGACACGAAAAGAAACAACACGAAGGACAAAAGTAGCAGGACACGGAAGATCTGTGCGAATGACGATTTTCAGATAAGGTGTACGTAATCTCGCTATAGAGAGGTGTCAAATTCCAAGTAAACATTCTTTTAACAAGTCTCTTTCCCTCTGTCGTTACATACACACTTTTATTAGTGAAAAGAGTAAAACAATTAGTTCAGCATAGAGGTTCAACCTGCCAAAGATAACACGCGTCCGTCTCCTTTGAACTGCTGAAACCTCAGCCATTCCAGTTAGATAAACTTCAGCTCTGCATAGAAAAGGTTATTCAGCCACTTCTACTAACTATCACGGTAATAACCTTTTTTTCTAGCAAGTTGATTTAGTTTGTTTATTTTTAATTCCTTACTACTCTTGTATTTCTTTCAAACTCTTACTTAATATCACACTTCCCTTCGTTATTACGTACATCACGATCACAACTCGTCCATCAAATTATTTACCTCATTACTTAACTCTAACATCCTTATTCTTCTTCTCTTGTGCATTAATTGGTATTAACGACTATGATTATGACAACTCACGTATGTCATAATCCTCTTTCACGAAATAATTGTATAGAAAAGCGAAAGTATAGTTAAAGAAAATGAATTCACCGAAAAGAGCCTATTTGCTGAACTACCTAATTTTGTTCATTTGATTAATGCCTGGATGAGGGCTATCCATGAATATACTTTTATTATCAGAGACTTATCTCTCCAAAAGCGAATAGAACACAGTTACTCAGAACAGGTTTTCATGTGCCCCAACCATCAGCCACATTTGTTGTGAGGACAGATGATACGCAGTGGTCTAGGCTGAAGTATGCGAGGCACGATCCTAACCCTAGACTTAGAAAGCTGAAAGCGATGTGCTGAACCTAAGCCAATAAGCCAAAGCTTCACTCTTGGATAAATTAACAAGATTACTTTTATTAAGCACTTAGATATCAGAAGTCTTATTCCCACTTTTTGTCAATTTGCAATAAAACCCGTAATAAATTAATTTCGGTATTGAAAAGTAATACCTGTTAGTCGATCTGCTGGTTTAAATTTTTCAGCCTCTGCTTCCCACAATAATTCTGCTTCACGAGCCGTTATTAGAGTTTCTTTTATATTATCATTTGTGCCTTTTGAAAGAGCTAAAGCAATATTTTTTGTTTCAGTTTCATGCCGTAGTTCATGTGCAGATAAATAACTATTTTCAAATTCCACTTTTTCGTATAGTTCAGCTATTTGTTTTTCAAGAGGTGTGAATTTAGGTGCAATAACTGCAGGTCGACGTATGCATAGTCCGGTTAAAATATTCCAATTTTTGATACTTTTTAACAATTTCAATGGATTTGACATGTTGATGTCTAGTTATTGTAAAATAACCGCAAACTGAAAGGTAGGGAAAATTTCTCGTATTGAGTAGTGAAGGAAATTATACAAAAGGAAAAACTAAGTTCATAATAATTAATAATAATAATACTGTGGTGAGTGCAGCCTATAATCAGACATAAGTAGTATACCAGTAAACGAATTCAGAAAATAGACAATATGTTTTGGCCACTGGAAAAGCAATCGAAGAAGAGAACTGTGAGAAAGTTACAACACTCTGCAGAATCCAACAACCTATCGAATGTCGTAGCATTCGACCAATCTGCAAATGATAAGGTGTAACAAATTTATGTACCTACAATGCGTTTGTTCGAGCCTCATCAGTCTTTTCTTCTTTACAATACCATTTAGCTACTCAGTGTAGGTTTTAATGAAATAGACCGCGGATTATATTTTGTATGTGACAACTTTTGCCCAGACCAAGGTGCGTGAAGCGGTTTTCGAAAGCTGGACTCACTGGAGGCTGAATGTTCAGTGTTTAAGCCAACGAACTATAATTCCGTTCAAAACAGAATGTAACTCATAATCACTTACACACATATTCATGGGGTAGTGCGAAACAGCTGATGAAATGTATTCAGTGGTGCAATCTGGTGTTCACATTGGTGCAGGAGAAGTGATGCTCCAGCCCAAAACTGACTAAGTCAGTGCCTCAGCTCCCGTAAAAGCCCATTCAGTGAAGCACATTTCACATGTTGAAAATCTGGTTTCCTATGAAATTGAATTGATCACAGGAATTACTTTTGTCTCTGATTTCACATATACGGCAGGATATGCTTGGAGTCCTATACTTAGTAGGCACGAAAAATTTCAGACAGCTTGCAGCTAACCATGAAGTTGAGAGACTTTCATTCAAAACACTATTAGCCTCCATTCTACAACGACTTACGCAATGCAAATCATTGCCCAAATTTAATCATTCTCGAGTCGATGCATAATCATTATTACTCCTTTTCAAGATCGGCATGATATATTGATCAGAGAGTGCTTTAAAGATAGTCGGACAATAATACGCCTAAATGTATGTTAAAAAAATTAATGAGGATACCTAATAGTTACGAACACAAGACCGTTGAACGGGGGGCATACACGCAAATTGATTTGCAGCATAAAATTCATGCTTTTTACTAATATAAACAAATACGTATATCTATGCGGTAATGGATTGCAACCACATAATGAACTGTCAGCGCATAACTCTAACGCGTGTTAAATCTATCCAGACGTCACACTGTCGCTGTCTGGATTCAACATAGAACTTGGTACCGAAGTGCAGCAGTTCGAGTTGCCACGTTCCACATAGCACACAGAGGTAGACAAGAAGATGAGTGAAGAGAATCAATACAGTCTTACTAGTATAAATGTGAAACAGAATGGATAATGGTAGAAAGGAATATGAAAGATTACAGAGACTGAATACATCTGCGCCATTGACAACGATTTTGAGCCACTTCACACTACCTGAAAATAAAACCTCACTGCTACAAAATGGTTTGCATTTTACTGGTACCGGAAAACCGTTACTCATTCACGCAATAGCGCTTATTATCAAACGACAAATATAGAGAATAGCGACCACGGAGTGCGAACGCACCAATGACACCAAAAGTATGGTATTCGTTGGATTACAAAACCTGCCGTGTATTCTACATCGAAAACCCATTTACTTTCCAAGAAAATAAACCTGATAACAATGAAACACATTAAAGATAACCCCTTACCCTGACGCAGCTGAAAAACACATCCAAACCACAATGAAGGGTATCAGTTTACAAGTCCCATAGCTATCAAAAACGGTTTCATATATATAGCAACGTAACACTCTCCCAATTAATCTTCTATAATTTTTAATTTTCGATTACAGCTTGATTCCACACCGTATTTTTTTTAGTACAAGTGTGGAATTTTCAGCGTGGATATCGGTAGCCCAAAATTCGCAGGCCGACCATAGATATCAGGTGTGCGTCGGCGTGGGCTCGAACCCCGGACCATGTGCATGGTCGGATAGTAGTTAAACACCCTAACCACAACATGTCTATCAACCTATAGTCAAAAGAGCACTTACAAACGAAATTACGATGAAATGTTCCCATCCATTCGTGCACCACGTTTGTAGTAGCGCTGTGATAACGGCAGGTTCTGTAACTCGAAGAAGCGTATGCATCCGAAATAACTGATGCTTTCGCATTCCACTGTCCCTAACCTTTAGGTTGACCGTCCAACCTACTATAGGACTAAGGGCCCAAGGAGAAATACGGTGAGTATACCAAAAGCAGTCTTACATATTACAGTAATACACTGAAATATGCCGACCATTATCATTGGAGAACACAAAACTCTAGAAAATTGATGAACAATTACGACAGCACATTAACTAAAGCACACAGAGGATTATGAGCATAGCCAATTACAAAAGAAAGTACTTAACGGTTTACCTTAGCCGATGCACCCACTTAATTAAAATAACACCAAAGAAATTTCGTGCGTCTAAAGTTTTGCCACAAGTGACAAAAAATACCTAACTACTGATCATTTAAATAATCATTTTAGGCTTATTTGTTGCATAGACGCATGAAATCCATTTGTTGACACATACACCCTTTTTGTTTACTGCTAACATCAGTTTTAACAGCTCTTCGTCACATCATACTAAGCCTCTAAACGAAATAAATGACAACAAACCATCAACTAAAGTCAAACCGTGCCAGTCAAATATTTTGAGACTCCATGAGTCCATTTAACAATTATCTGTTATGATGCAGCGACAGTTAGATTCGACCTAAGGTGATACAAGTCAACATTCTATCGACGCTTTAAAAATATAATTTGGAATGGAAAAAGTAGTTGACAGTTAACTTTATAGTATCATCTCAATGTACGCAGAATCCCTTGCGAATTCCTATCGATCACAACCAGTGTAAGAGGCAAATAAATCAAACATGTGTATTTCTCAGAACTTTTTCGTTCCAGTTGATGTGGATTGTGATAGTATAGCATCTCCACCGTCAATGGAAGAGCATGTGTTGCCATCTACACCTGACAATTGTTGTGACACAAACGAGCGTGCTGAACTGGATGTCATTCGCAACATTGTCGACAGATGCAAGCTTATTATGACGAATAAGCGTATTATGCTTGAAGATATGAAGCATGTGCTTCGTGACGTACCAACTGACCCTGAAACATTGATGAAGAATGAAGTTTTTCAAAGGAGAAAAATTTGTCTCGGGCATACGTTCACATTGACCTTCTTCGTTAGATTGAAAGTCGCCTACAAATATTTAAAGACGAAGTCCCAATCCCAGCGGATCTGCAGCTAAACATTAATGGTGCTCAACTTTCTAACAATTCGGACTTACAGATGTGACCTATTCAAGCGAAGCTGCTGCTGTCTGAAAATGACAAGGTGTTTTTGGTAGGTGTATACTGAGGTCCCTGTTAACCTGTAAGTAGTCACAGTTTTTAAGGGATACTATTGTAGAGTTGGAATTTATATTTAACAACAGTTCTATATTACCCAGCAGTCACCACATAGACATAGTATTCAACAGCGTTATCTGTGATGAACGTGCCAGAGAATTAGTTAAGCAAATAACCGATTACAATTCAACCCAAGGATGGGATATTATTATTATTGCTCCCTTGGTTTCCTAGTGGAACATAGGGATTCAAATGCACGTCTCCATTTGTTTCTGTCTTCAGCTGTACTTTTCGCCTGCATCCATGTTAGTCCATATTCTTTCAACTCCTCTTCACACGATCTCCTCCATGTCACCCTTGGACGTCCCACACGCCGCTTCCCTTTCGGGTTCCACTCGAGGGCTTGACGCGCGATGTCACCCAGCGGTCTCCTCAGCGAGTGTCCGATCCATCTCCACTTTCTCCTGCATATTTGTTGGGGCGATTGGTTCTTGCTTTGTTTGTTCCCATAATTCCTTGTTGGTGATTCTTTCCGGCCATCTGATCTTCAGTATAGAGAGCGAAGACAGTTGTTAATAAAGGTCTGCAACCTTTTGGAAATATTCTTTGTGACCCGCCAAGTTTCTGATCCGTATAGAAGAACTGACTTTACGTTTGTATTGAAAATCCGAATTTTGTTGGTGATGCTGAGTGACGAAGATTTCCAGATTGATTTCAGGTTGATGAATGTGTTTCTCGCCTTCCCGATTCTCGATTTGACATCCTCGTCCGCTCCTCCTGTAGTTGAGACAATGCTCCCTAGATAAGTGAGTGAATGAAGTAACCTCTTTCAAATCCCTCCCGTTGATGGTGATTGACGTTGGATGTTGTTGCTGTTGTTGGTTGGTTATTTTCATAACCTCCGTCTTGTCTATGTTTACCTGGAGTCCTGTCTTTGCTGCTTCTTCGACCAGTTTGTCGGTTTTCGCTTGTAAGTCTTCGATTGTGTGTGACATCAAACATAAATCATCCACGCGCGAAATCCAGGTCTTCTAGGTTCTTCACGTCGGTCCAGGATATTCCTGTCTTCTCGTTTCCCACTGTCTGACGCATAATCCAGTCAGTCCACCACAATTAGGAATATCATTGGTGATAATAAGCACCCTTGTCTGACTCCTGTGTTTACTCCAAACGCCTCGCTGAGTTTTCCGTTGTGGATCACTTGACATGTGCCGTTGTCGTACAGCTGTTGAATAAGGTTGATGAATATTTGGGGTACGCCATAGTACTCGAGTAATTTCCAAATTACTTCACGGTCAACGCTGTCGAAGGCCTTCTCAAAGTCTATAAAGTTGAGGTAGAGGTTTGATTGCCATTCCATGCTTTGTTCGATGATGATGATGCGTAGAGTTGCAATTTGGTCAGTACATGATTTGCCTTTCCTGAATCCAGCTTGTTCTGGTCGGAGTTCTGTCTCCAGTGCGTCCTTTAATCTCTCCAGGATGATGCGACTCAGGATTTTACTTGGCGTCGACAGGAGCATGATTCCTCGCCAGTTCTTGCAGAGT